TTAATGGCTTAATTAAAAGCTGCATTAATAACTATTCATTAGTCATTTATAAGAGTGCCTTGATTATAATGTGGTACAATCACGGGTTCATTTATTGGTTTGGGAAAAACCCTTTTGGTTACAAAAAACAGGAATTATGCACAAAAAAAATCATCAAGAGGACACAAAATAATTTGCCTGATTTAAAAAAAAAAAATTTTTAAGGAACTGTTTGTCTTTTTTTTTTTTTTACTGTGAAGTTTAAAAACACAAAGAAACATAATTTGTCACTCTTCAAATGTTTCTTGCTAAAAGAAAAGAAAGTGCATGAGTGTTGTTGGGTTTTTTTTTGTATTGGCTGATTTCATTTGTCTCTGAACTTTCAATAGTGTTTGGGTCAGAACTCGTTACTACAGAACCCGTCCATCTTTCCCTCTTCATCCATAACTTGCTTCCCGGCGCTGGCTGGCTCATTTTGGTAACTTGTGATTTCATATTTCCTTTGATCCATTCGGTGCCTCCGATACCAGAGGCAGCAAAGCAATGATCCGGCATGATGGAGGTTTATCATTGGGAGGGTGTTCTTTTCTCTGGACTTTATTTCATCACTCACAAACAAACCCATGCCAGGGCTTTTCACAGAGCTATTTCTGTACTGTGCAAAAGTCTTGAGTAATTACTGGTTTCTTTTAGATTTTCTTGTAAGGTGGTTTTGATCATTACTTTTCCAGGCTTTCCAAAGATCTTTCAAAGTTTTTCTTTGGACTTTGACTGCTATTTTTTTTGCTGTTGATAATTTTCTTCCCAGTTCTTGTAAATGGGCTATTATTATCCTTCAGTTGATCATCTTTTTGATGTTCTATTTGATATTTTTCACGAGTTAAACTAAAACAGATTGCAAATTTGTAACAGTCTTCTAGAACCTGAGTGCCTAAACATCCATTTGTCCATTTTCTATATCCGCTGTGGTTCTTAAACAAGAGGCGTGGTACACTATTAACCATTAACACTCACATTTTCACCTAGAGACCTTTTGGAGGCTCTACAAGCTCTAGAATATTGAAGATCACAGGAAAAGCAAAGTATATATATATAAAAAAAAGATAGAAAGTTCCTGGAGAAACTTTGACGGGGACTGCCACATTGCAGCCATTTTAGATTTTTATTTCAGATACCACCATACCAAATTTCAGCTCAATATAGAAAGAAAAAGTCAATGAGTTATAGTCATTTTTGAATGACTGAGTTACAGTCAATTTGGATTTTTCTGAGGCGGCTGTGGCAGCCATCTTGATCTAAAATGACTCCAAAAGTTAATCAGTGTTTTGCTCAGAGACCTCTCCACTCTAGGTCATGTGACCTTACTGTGGCAGAAGCTGTCCGTGCTTTTCAGTGAGAAAAATGGCGTCTTTGTTAGCAAATTACGTTGCCACGGAAACTCGCAGTTAGGCCTGTCGTGATAAGAAATAAATCAATTAATCGCATGATAAATGAAAATTATCAACCTCATTTTCATTTATCAGCTTTATTGTTTCTTCATGTCTCTCTCTTTCTACTGAAGACACTGGATGACAAAAATCTTAACTCCGGTGCTCTTCACGGACCCCGCTCTTTCTCTTTTCTCTTTAAAATCTGTATTAACCATCCAAAATGGCATTTTTGGATCGTTAAAAGCACCTATGCTGAGAAGCAAAGCTACAAGCTAAGCTAACAGGTCGACCTCGGAAATAAACCTCCGTCTTGTCGAAGCTCCAAAAGTCCTGGTTGAAACCTGTGCCTTTGTCTAAAAAATTGTTTTTCTCTGCAAAAAGAAGCTGAGAACTTTACTGATTTTTTTTTATTAAAGCTTTGTGTAAAGAGTGCTATGCTGAAGAGCTCAAACCACACCGAGTGGCCACCATTTTGAGAACCGATGAAAAGGAAGATGAGACGGCTCATGTCACGTCAAGGGGCCTCCCTCCCATTTTTCTTAAAGAGACACGCTGCTCGCTCCCTCACTATCCATCCTTCGGTTCAAGCTGTCTTATACTGCCATCCGGTATACACACAAATATTAGCCAACATTTTTTCTTAAATTTGACAATAATTACTAACTATTGTCAAATTTCAAACAATATTATCATTTATCGCAATAATTAATTCGCCCAGCAAAATCGGTTATCGTGACAGGCCTACTCGCAGTGCCAGTAAAAGTAATAGCACACATCACGGTGCTGAGCCGGTCATTTTGATATAACATTTGTGGGGGTACACACTGCGGTTCAGTCCGCCTTAAAGTTGACAGAAGATTAAGATATAAAGTTAAGAAACCTTTGTCAGGTGGGTAATAATGGGTAGCTGCCTTACTACGCAGTCTCCAATAAAAGAAGGCCGCATAAGAACTTTTGCACTATACTTTTTATAATGACCTTTGTTCATAAAAAGTTATTCCGGAAAGACCGAGACTTTTTTTTTTTAATGAAAGTGTTTGCAAACATCACTCCCTCTATTAACAGGGGTCTCTTGGTTGGTCTTCAGTCATCAAGCCCTTCTGTTTTCAGTACTCTGTGGATAAAATGGGCTCAAGCTGTGCTCTGCAGCCTAAAGCTCATTAGATATTAGCAGCATTTTTTTTTTCTATAAGCGTCTAAAGACTTTTTACTGACTGCAAAGAAGTCAAACTATTCCCAAACTGTATTTAAGTATATTACTTGTATAAACGCTTGATTGCAGATGGTCATATTTGGTTTTAAATGTCTATTAAAAGACACTTGAAGTTAGTAAATCAGCAGTAAACTCAGAAAAATCAAAAGTATCGTTACTTGCTACAGATGAAGCGTGTTTCTGGCTTTAATGCGCACTAATAAATACAGCTATCGGGGGGGGGGGGGGTGTGCTCGTGACATCCTCATTTCATATTCTCGCCAGTTGGGCATGCCTCAGTTTTGAGGTGTAATATAGCCCCGCCAAATCAGCGGTAGCCCCATTACTCATCCCCCTCTGCGCTGTCTCCTGGCTGGTGCTTCAGCGCTAATGCAGATTACAGGGATATATGAGGGCTATTTTGTTCGCTGCAGGGTGGAAATGATCACAGGCAACCCCATCCCTCTCTGATGCACGACTCTACATCTGTTCCACCCTACAAAAGCCTATCTGGATATCCATCAGAGCCGATCCCCTTATCAGATGTGAGGCTGCTACATCTATTGCGCATCAATTATAGATGCTGGCTGTAAAGAATTGGGTCACTTTATCAACACTTGCTCTCGATCCATGAAGACATTGTTTAGATAAGTGATTAGTGGCTCGACTTTAGATACATTTGCTGCATTTTCTGTGTTAAATGGTCCGTTTATGATGGCATTGAGGGATAGGAGCCCCAGCGAAAGAAAATTGTGTGTAACTAAAATGATTTAGCTGGGATCATTTGTGGGTTTAACTTTGACTGCAGCGACAAAAAAACAAGCTAATGTAAAGTAATAAGGCACAAATGTCCTGTCCTTTTTGTTTCAGCTGCATTTTGCATATTTTTTATTTATTGTTAGCTAAATATCTCATGAACCATTGACTGGATTTAAATGAAACCCACAAAAAGTTATTATTGGATGAAATAGAAGTGAATAACTTACGGAGTCAATCTATTTTGAAGATGAATGTCACAACCACCTGAACTTTAAAACTCCTACAATGACTATAACACAACCAGCTTCACAGATGTAGAGCTAAAATTCTGTGTTGTAGCTGTGTTGTTCAAAGTGGGGGCCACCAGAAAGCTGGAAAGAAGAAGTAAAAAAAAAAAAAAAAGCACAAATAATAAATAGCATAAATAATAAAAATTACCACTAGGGCAATCTGTATCGATTGGAAGTTAATGCTGTTTGGGGGGCCATGGCGTGGAAAAGTTTGGGAACCCCTGTTGTAGCTGACAGTCGTTCACAGCACTCACTCAAACGCCATCAGAGATGTTTCATGTTTTATATTGATTTGAAGGTTTGACCAAACGGCTACAACTCTGTCACTATTTAACACAAGATGATCTGAAATTCTGGCGTGAAAGGCGGCAGGTGATTTGTATCAGATCGAATCGAAGCATTTTACTCTAAAACAATCCCAGGTATTAAATGAACCAAGCAGCATTCTTTCAAAAAAAAAAAAAAAAAAAAAAGTCTCTTTCAACTTAAATTCATTTCCAACCTGCTTCCTGACAGGGAACACCGACGTATTATTTAAATTTCTATCCATCCAGCGAGCGGCACACGTCAGAAACCTGCGCATTTAATCTTCATGCGAGCCTCTGCTCGTTTGTTGGGTAAATAGACCATTCATCATCTTCCTGGGCTTCTCCAGCCTGACTGTTTGAGCGATCCGTCTCTCAAAGAGCCCCTCTCTCTGCAGCCCAATCAATCATTTTTCAATGAAGATGTCACAGCTCATTGTGTGGAGTGTTATCCTAAATAATTCCCAGAAGGTTTTGGATGATAAAGTGAAACCCTTTCTGCTCACGACGAGGGTCACTCCTCTCTCCAAAGTGCAAAATATTCTTTAGCATGATAAATAAGGAGGTGTTACGGTTTCATTGTTGTGCTGTCAACCATTTTCACCTCAACGGAGGTGGTAGCAGGTGCCGAAATCTCTAAGTGTGCTTGCTATTAACTTTTCATTAAGCGCATTAAACTGCACAAGTCATCAACAAGTAGTTGCAGCTCCACATAATTGGTTTGTGGTTAATGCGTGTTTTGAAGCTGTAAGTGTCAGTGAGCTGGTAAAATCGCAGCGTGAGCTCTTTAAGACTCCAGATTTTCTCAGGAAGAAGCACTTTTTAAAGACCGACAGCTTAAACTGCGCACGCCGACAATTTCTTCCGGGCTGCGCGCCGTTATTCAAGCTCCTCGTAATGATCGTTAATTCAATAACCAAGCCGTAGGATTGTCTCATTAAATAACCAGCCGCAGTGCAGTAATAAAGATTTCGCTCGACTTGAGCGTGCGCACACCTCTAATCTTTTGCTCTTCCTTTTGTTTGCCTTTGTTTTGTTGTTGCAGGGTCCTTCAGGAGTTGCTGCGGAGACCTGTGTCAGCCGGAGCTGCGGCCGTGACGTTCTGCAGACACGAGTTTCACCAAACATACAAAAAAATACAGGAAAAGTACACAATAGCACACCCTACTTGTATATTTACAGAAACTTTCTGCCTCTAGTTTAAAAAAACAAAACTTTTTAACCTTGTGCAGCTCAGATTACTAATTAGGAGCAGTTTAAAAACACGTTTTTGTGGTTTTCAGAGACAAATGAACGAGTAAAAAAAAACCCGCTGAGCTAATTACGGTCAAATTTTAGCAAATTCATATTAAAGATGAAACAATTAAACAAATCAAGAAAACTTTTAAAGACTTTCTTTTGAAATGAATTCAGTAGTTATAACTCAGAAGAAAGACGTTCTTAATAAATCGTTTATCATTACCGGTAGTTCTGTTGGTTGATTACACTGACCACACTCCTCATTATTATCTTGAGTCTCACCTTTTCATTAGCACGAATAAGTCGTTCATTCATATTTTAAGAACTGATCAATCTTTGTGGCCTGTTCTGTGAAATATCACCAGAATGTTTTACTTACAGTAATTTATTGCACCCACATGACTGCGGACGTTATGCGAGGAGTGGCATTTACTCTAAAAGCAATGAGTAAATGAGGAGCGCTCGCAACAAACTTTAAAATGCCGAGCAGTTTATTGAAGAAAACAATGCAAATAAAGATTTACATGCGAACGACTAATCAGCGGTCCTAAAAGTCGTAAATTTAACTTCTGTGATCAGTAGTTTTTATAACTTTCTCAATTCGACTCAAACAAAAACATCCCAAACTGAAGTCAAAAATGTGTGTAATTTCTGTTCCTAAGTTTCAAGAGATTTAAATTTTTTTTTAAAGTGGCATTTTACTGTAACAGCCCATTGAGTTAAAGAAAATGTAAATGCTTAAAAACAAAAAAATTGTGGTGTCTTGGTGTAGATCCTCTTCCATCCAGGACATGTCGATCCAAAAATCTCTTAAAAACAAGTGACTGGATGACTTTTTTTTACATTTATTAAAAATAAAAAGCTAAATTGCAAGTTTTAAAAGTGCAACAAGTTTCTGTTCTGTAAGCTAAACTCACATGCAAATCATTCCCAAAGTATTGTTAGGCTCTTCGGGACAAGACTCGGATGTCCACCTACATCTTGAGAAATAGGGGCGCTCTTTTTGGGGCAGTAATGGAAGCCATGTTTGTCAAATGAGAAAGACCAACATTAAACAGAGGAGTAGGCCTCAGCTTCCAGCACATCCATCACAGTTTTGAACATACCGTACTTGCCGCCGTAAAGTTGCACCGCCCTGTAAGTTGCATCAGTACAAATATGTCTAATCAAGTGTAAAAAAACATAAATATGTTAAAAAAACAATTGCGGTAATCACCGGCCATTTCCTTTACATTTTGTACCCGGATGTGGAGAAAAAAAAATAGTCACTGACCAGACCAACAGAAATACCCCAACAAGCTTCAGGAGGGTGGGGAGGAAGAGTGATCTGAATGTGAGTTCATCTGACAAAAAAGAAAACGAATCTTCATCTTTTCTGACAAAAAAAGAAACCAATAAAACTCCAGCGTGAACACAGAGAGACGAATGATTTGGCTGTAATTAGCTGAGGTTGCTGAACGTTGTTAAAGCTAAAAGAACAATATCTGAAAACTAAAAAAAAGCCAAAAGTACCGAAATGCTAGCTAAAATCGAAAAGTAGCTAAAATGTTCTTAAACAGTAGGTAAAAGCTAAAACAAGGCTGGCTAAAAACTAAAACTACCAAGGTGGTAGCTAAAAGCAGCAAAAGGATAGCTAAAAGTTAAAGTAGCAAAAGGGTAAGTAAAAACAAAAAGTGTCAGAAAACTAGCTAATAGTACCTAAATGGAAGCTAAAAGCAAGAAATGGCCAGCTAAAAGTTCAAAGTTGCATAAAGTTAGCGAAGAAGACAAAAACAGGAGCAACTATAATAAGTAGATTTTTAAAAACGGTTTATATAACGGTGTATATATGCGTATATATGTTAGAGTCACAAAAACCAAAAGTCAAAGCACCCATCTTCTGAATGAGCTGAATGTTTTCACGTATGAACAGCTAAAACAGCACAGAAGTTACCTCAGTTACCCAACGAGTCAACAGGTTTACACTGATTTTGCTTTGATGTGGTTTTTAAAAATCACTTCATTACATTGAATTATTACCTCTAATTGGATCATCGATACTGACCATTAAAATCTTTAATCTCATCCGTTCTGGCCTTTAGCAGCAGCCGCAGCCTGTATGGTCTCTGAGGAAAGCCCCTCTCTTCCTGCAATCTGATTAAAAAGATTAAATCTGTTACCTCATTGCCGGAGCTTTATCTCGTGAGGTCGTTCAGTGGTGCGTCAGCCCTCCTCCACCTCCCCACCCTCAGCGTACCTACGTAGCATAATTAAACTTGAATTAGATCATTAGCATACAAAGCTGGAAACCTACCGCCGTGGAGTCATACATATTTATCTGCACGCGCTTGTACTGTAACCCCCTCCTCCTTTCCTCCTTGCATGCAAACACGACGAGCTTTCTAGTGCAGAAAAAGGAGCGAACCGAAATGGATGTTTTCCAGAGCGTGCGTCTGGTGTTCCGAGGCAAATATTTATCAGTGGGCCATCTGCAGAGACGCACGCTTTCATTTAAACACTTTAAGTCGTGTGCTGGTTGAAAATGGCAAAACGCAGCAGATGGATTTTGATTAGGTTCATCAGAGCAGGTTGCTTTCAGCATAGCAAATATTACTTACACACCGAGGGATTTTCTGAGTCCACTAACACCTGCAGTGCAAACTTATCTGCTGCACATACTCAAACAGACAAAGACAAACACGGAGCGCTGCCTTTTGAGTATCGGGTTTCCTCTGCCTCATTTCTGTCTCCATTCCTTGCATCCTTCCTCTTTTGTTTTCCTGAACCATACTCCCTGCCTCCTCAGGATCGCTTTTCCTCCTCCTTCCAGCTGAGAGAACAACTCCCCCCTTTTCATGGCTACTTGGAGTCCTCTTATTAGTATTCTCTCCTCCTTCCTGCTTTCTCCCCTTCCTCCTGTGAGATTGCTGTTGTGTCTTATGGCTTTTTATTCCTACGTGATGGTAGATGTGCTCATGTAAGAGTAGAAGCCACTAAACACGCAGCGAGCGCTCAACATGCTGGCCGACACATGCAGAGAGCTTCCTGTGGATATGACAGCTGCCATGTTCACATCAGTGTCCTCCTGCCCATTACCCAGAATGCCCATTAGCGCTGAAGAGCGAGGGTAACTTTTAGACCAAAGTTACAAAGAATTTTCATGAATGCAATTAAAGGCCTAGCCTTCCTTAAATGAATGCATATTGCTAGTCTTCATGTATATTTTGTTTCAGACTAAGATCATTTTAAGCAAATAAATAATGAAGGTGTTGGTCAACCCTTGAAGATACAGTTATGCTCAATCTCAGAGTATGCATTGTGAATAACTCTAATCTACAACCATAAAAACCTCGATTCAATGGAAGTCAATTGACTGGGTTCTAGTCGTTTTTGTGTTTGCTAAGGTTAAACCGCTGTCGAGTTGGGTTGACTCCAAATGTCAGTCAGTTGTAGATGTACATCCAGTGATTACTTTCTGTAAGTTTCATTACAATTTTACACCAAGTTTTAGAATGGTAATTGTAAGACTGGTTTTGTTGTAGTTATTTTTTGTGGTTTCTAAGAATAGTTAGCTGAGGCAGCCGTCTTGACTTTAGTTGGCTCCAAAAGTAAATATTATTTACTGAAAATGTCATTAAAATCCATCCCGTAGTCCATGAGATATTTTGATAACAGCCATGATTGTTCCTTTTCCTTTCCTCGGTGTTACATCACTGATGACTTTATTTTACAAAGGTGTTGAATTCAGGGAAAAGTTGAGCAGAACATTCTTTTTCTTCTGCATGCTGACTTGCATGTGTCTTGAATTTACAACCTGTTCCTTCATTCCTCTGCCTTGAGTGTAAAAAAAACACTTCATAATAGAAACAACTTAAATTATGTTTTTTAAAGTTTTGTCCAATGGGTGCAAAAGTTGTGCTAATTTCCAAAAGCACATGGAGAAAAATAGCTCGGTGTTGGTAAAAATGGTGGCACGGGCCTCAAAATGAACGGAAAGCACCGTAAACCGTCTTGATTAGCAACGTGATGTCGTTCCTTTACAGGCTCTAACACCACAAAACCTTCTGATACAAGTAAAAGTTACTGATTAAAAATAATTGTTTGATTAAAATATTGCACTAGATTTTATTCCTCTATGTGTGTGTTAATTAAATTAGATTTTTATAGTTACATGTTTGCACAAAAAGTTAGCTTCTCAGCACCCAGAAAAACCAGTTACAGATTAAATATCGGAATCGGACGATATTGGCGATAAAGTTAAATATCGGCCATTCCATCAAAATAACTCACCAATATAAAAGGTGCTGTTTTTGTTGTGACATGGATGTCTGCAGCGCCAGCACATTGTTATGACATCACACACGCCGTTGAGTTTAGGTTTGTGAAAATTTACAAATTTGCACTGTTCGAGTGTTGTCATTGTGTTAGAGTAAACGTCATGAATAAATTTGACATTAAACATAATCCAAGTTGAAATGTTGCATTATTTTCAGGCCCTTTTTTGGCGTCTTCATTTGATAGAAGGACAAATTGACAAAGACCATGCAGAATAATGTAGTGTTTTAATTCCACAGCAGAGAAAGCTTTGTAGTCTCTGTAAGTAGGTCTAGGAAAAAATAATATCGATATTGGCCAAATAAGTTTTAACATATCGGATATCGGCCAAAAATCCAATATCGTGCATCCCTAAAAATGATCTGTTGCTGTCCCTTTACTGACCGGTTCACACCAAGACTGATTACTACATAGAACCAGGACCGTGGAACATTTGAATATAATTCACTATAACAGTACAGGAGCAGAACAGTTATAAAAGTCTAAATTCAATATTAATAAAGTAAAACGGATCAACGGTGAGTGCAAATAATACACATTCCCTTGACATTGAACATGGGGGGAACATGCAAACTCTACACCGAAAAAGTAAAATAAAACGTAATCAGTAAGATGTATTGTCTGAGACCAGTTTTCCTGCTGAATCCTCTACCTCTAAATCTTCAAGCCTCACAAACGAACTCATTTTACACCAGAAATCTGCAGAAAGTTTGCCTCTAATCATGCTATCTAACAGCAGTAACGTACGCCTGAGCTGAACTCGGTGTCAACTAATTAAGCAAGAAATTCAAATGATCCTGCTGGTGGGTCCACACGGGTGCTGCAGGCTTCGGCTTGAAATGTCAACTCTCTGTTTTTGTGGTGAAATGAGCTGCTGGGCTCCTCACGCTGAATCTGAATAAAAAGCCTAAATGGGCTGAAACCCCTTTTCCAAGAAAATAAAATAAAAATGAATTATTAATCTGGATATTACAAGAATCCGACACATGTTTGCAATTGTGGGACATTACATCGGCACTGATATGAGGAGCATAATAATTTGAGATGAAATTGAAATAGATGAGGTCTGTGGAAGTGTAATGATTTATTTAGGGGGTGTTGTGATCTAATATTCAGTGGGAGGGTTGAGAAGTTTCTCATGCTTGCATTATAGTTTTAAT